CTTCGTTTGCTATTATTTTCTCCCATTCTGAGGGCTGTCTTTTCACCTTGCTTATAGTTTCCTTTGTTGTGCAAAAGCTTTTAAGTTTCATTAGGTCCCATTTGTTTATTTTTGCTTTTGTTTCTAATATTCTGGGATGTGGGTCATAGAGGATCCTGCTGTGATTTATGTCGGAGAGCATTTTGCCTATGTTCTCCTCTAGGAGTTTTATAGTTTCTGGTCTTACATTTAGATCTTTAATCCATTTTGAGTTTATTTTTGTGTATGGTGTTAGAAAGTGTTCTAGTTTCATTCTTTTACAGGTGGTTGACCAGTTTTCCCAGCACCACTTGTTAAAGAGGTTGTCTTTTTTCCATTGTATATCCTTGCCTCCTTTGTCAAAGATAAGGTGACCATAGGTTCGTGGATTTATCTCTGGGCTTTCTATTCTGTTCCATTGATCTATATTTCTGTCTTTGTGCCAGTACCATACTGTCTTGATGACTGTGGCTTTGTAGTATAGTCTGAAGTCAGGCAGGTTGATTCCTCGAAAACTGTTTTATTATGTTCGTAGATTCTTTTGATTTAGAACTTGGGCATGGCGCAATGAGAATGGTTGGTTCTGTTCCATGATGTCTGGTGCCTCAGCTGAGAGGCGTCAGTGACTGAAGCCTGATCATGTGTAGCCATCTTTATTCTCATGTCTGGCAGTTGTTGGCTGGCTGTCAGCTGGGACTTCAGCAGGGGCTGTTGACCAGTCATTGTGTGTGACCTGTTTATATGGCCTGGGCTTCTTAAGAGCATGTTTTCAGGTAGTGAGGCTTCTTACCCAGCAATTCACAGCTCTAAAAACTCACGCTCCAGTGGAAGGCAGCAGCTGATTGCCTTTTCTTACTGGCCTCAGAAGTCAAGCAGTGTCCTGTCTGCTTCATTTTTTTGGTTACAATGAATCTCTAGCCTTCCCAGATTCAAGGGGCGAGGATGACTCCACCTATCTATGGAAAGATGAAGAGCATGCAGGATGGGAGATGTTGTGGCAGCCATCTTTGGAAAATACAGTCTGCCACAATCATTATATCTTCACACCTGGCTCATAATATTGTTGTTCAGTCACTAAGTCATGTCCAACTCTTTGCATCCCCATGGATAGCAGCACACGAGGCTCCTCTGTCCTCCACCATCTCCCAGAATTTGTTCAGATCTTGTCTGTTGGGTCAGTGATGCTATCTAACCATCTCATCATCTGCCACACCCTTCTCCTTTTGCCTTCCATCTTTCCCAGCTCATAATAGGTGCCAGTGAATATTTGTTGAGTGAGTTCTGGGCACTATGGTAGATATTTTCACATATGTTTATCTCATGTAATCTTTATAACAATCCTATATAATGGGTGTTATCAATCTCTTTTAACACATGAGAAAACAGAGACTTAGAGTGTCCTGTCGTCCTTTTTTCTCTTATCTGTAGTGAAAGCATTTAAATTATCATTGTTGGCACTGAGGGCAGTGACTGGGCATGGTTGTTACAGTTTGCCTGGATTCAATAAAGAAATATCTTTTCAGGTTTTACTACATTTTTAGCATTATTCTAGGCTCTGTTATAAAACAGCAAACTTGACAGACAAGGTCTTTCCCATCATTGAATTAAGATAATTTCAGGCTATAAAAATGCTGTGAAGGAATTAGATTAGGGAAGATAATAGAGACTATACACCTTATATATCTTAGGGAAAATTGTGGGTGGAACTGATCAGGAGGGATGAGGAGATGTATAGTTAATCATGTGGGTAGGAAGTGCATCTTGTAGGAAGTCATATTTATTGTCATTCATGTTTAAGAATATTTTGCATGTTTTGTTGCTGAGATGTTTGACATAATCAAATTAGATGAACATGTTTTAGAGATTCAGAAGACATTTAGAAAATTTTAAAGAGTTTGTGCAGTGTTGACCATCTTGTTAATATAAAACAGAACTGGTGGATCTGGTGAGACAGGTGCACAGAGGACAATGACTGTAACAGTGCAAGCAGGACTGTGAGCTGTTGATAAAAGACAGTGCACTTCACCAGCAAGCTGAGAGCATCTTGGTGTAGTCCCTGCCTACCGTTTCTTCTGCTAGTCTGGTCCTAACTAGCATAATTAAACCAAAATGTTCATGACTCTGTGTTCCTCATCTTTTCTAACATAACTGCTGCATGGAAGGAAATACTAAAGAGAACAGGAGAGAGGAATCAACAAAAATGCTGGTTTTTTTTCCTCCTCAGGGTGTTTATAATCTAGTGGGGATGGCAGATACATAAACAATTAGAATACAGTGTGGTAAGTGCTATAATAACAGATGTGGGATAGTTCCTGTTAGAACTTAGAAGGCAAGGCTGCCCTGCTCACTTAGTGGTGTTCGGGAAGGCTTCACATAGGAGATAATAACCGAGCTGTTGTCTTGATGAGGAATTAGGTAGATGAGGTCTGAGAAGAACATTCTAGGCAGACGGAAGGGCATACAAAAGAGCTAGGAGAACTGCAGAATGTTTCATAAGGCTGAAAATAGTGTGAGTATGGGAGAATGGTGAGAAATACAGGGGCCAGAAGAAGAAAAGTCATACATGTCACTAATGGAACTGTGGCTCCTTAGGGGATAGGGCGCTACTGAAAACTTTTGAACAAAGAGTAATACTTCAGATAAAAATAACCAGCTACCTTTTCAACAGTAGTTAATGGCTAATGGGCATCTCAGATTTAACATGCCCTAAAACTTAATTCCTAATTATTCTCCACCCACCCCCCACCATCACCTCCTTCTGCTTTTCTCCATCTCAGTGAATGACAACTTCATTCTTACTTAGTCCAGTCATCCTTGATTTCTCTTTCTCTCATACCTCACAATCAGTCCATCAGCAAATCCTGTTGTTTCTTCCTTTAAGATGTACCCAGAATTCACCCACTAATTAGTACCACCCTAGTCTGAGCCACCATCATCTCTAGCCTGAATTATTGCAGTAGCCTTGTAACTGGTCTCCTGCTTCCTTCCTTGCTCCTTAATAGTATATTCTCCACACAGCAGTCAGAAATCCTCCTAAAAAGTTAGATAATGTTATTTGTGCTCTAATCCTTCTAACGACTTCCTTCCTAATGGGCCACAAAGCCCTACATGTCTCGCACTTGGCTCTCTTCTTTCCTTCTTCGATATTCAGCACACTCACCTTTTCTGTTCCTTGCCTCAGAACTTTCAGATTTGTTGTTTTTTCTGCCTAGAACATTCTTTGCTGAGATACCCACATTGGTAGCTCTGTAACTTCCCGCAGGGCTCTGTTCATGAGGCCTTCCCTAATCTTATATAAATAGCAGAACTTCTTAGACACTCTATTCTTCTAGTCTTTTTTTTCTCCCTATAGATTTACTACCATCTGACTTCTTATTTATTATTTGTCTCTCTTTTCTGCAGTACAAATTCTAAATGGGTAAGAACTTTGACTGCTTTGTTCACTATTCTATCCCCAAGGCATAGAGCATGAGGTAGCCACCCAGTTAAGTTTTGTTGACAGTCTTGATTTGCATTTCTAAAACTTCACCTTGGCAGCCTTGTGAATAGTGAGTGGGAAGGGGGTGTGAGGAAGACATTGACCCTTGGAATTGAAATAGTCCAGTCAAGAGATTTGGAGGGCAGGGAGTCAAGAATTACTTGGGAGGTAAAATTGACAAGATTTGGCACGTCACCAGACTGGGAGAAGTGAGGAATAATGACTCCCAGATTTCTGGCTTGGATGGTTTGAGCAGATGATGATGTTGTTGGGAATAAATGAAGCCAGGAGGGTGAATGAAGTGGGTCAAAGAGAGTATGTTGTAAGGTGACCAGTCATCCTTGGTGTGCCCAAGACTGTTGGTTTTAGCACTAAAATCCATGTGAGGAAATACCTCAGATCCAGGCAAACCCAGATGATTGGTCACTCTAATACAGAGTGAAAAGGTAACTGAAGACAACACCAGCAGTACAGAAGAGGAGGAGGAAGTCAAGTCTGTGCAGGAAGTAGAGCAGAGCCAGTTCAAGAGTGGCAGGAGATGAGTGAGGCATTGGATCCAGGAAGCTAAGAGAGTAGTCCACAGTATAGGTTGAGTTTTCCTTGGAACTTCTGTTTCTAGCCATCCTTGGCAGAAGTATGACATATTATAGAGGCTTGGTAAAAGTTTCTTGAAATAAACAACACAAATGATGTCTGTTTCCTTGATGTTAAACTGTAAGTTATTGAGGGGAGTCAGCTTCTGATGCTAATCAGATCGCAAGGATAAAAACGGATTTAGGGAATGTTACTTTTAAAAGCAGTATTATTTCTATATTGAATATTTGGCAGTCTTAGTTTACTCACACTGCCCAGTATTTGTTAACCTGTTACTTTGTGGTTTTGAAACAACATTGATTCTGAATGATCCTAAAATTGGAATTTCAGAGCCAGACCATTGTGATCATCTATAAGATGGTTCTTAAATATTTTGGAGTAATCCTTCTGCAAATCTGTTGAAAACCTTGAACTATCTCCACCTTCTCCCCGACTCCTTCCCCTTGCAAAACACACATTTTGCTTACAATATTGAGGGGTGAAGGGTTATGGATCCCAGGGTAAAAGAACTGCCAATCTCATACAGCCCTCTGTAATTATACCTCAGGATATAAAGAGGTCTAGAAAAACTATTTATCCAGGGTCACATGTCTAGATAGTAACTGAATGTATTCTTGATTGATTATTCTAGCCATTACATGCCTTCTTTTAATTCAGGCTCAGTTTCACTTGACTGATTATTAGATTTATTTCAGTTGTTTGGTCACTGTGCTGGCTGTATACAAGTTGACTTCACCCTCTATGTTCCATTCATCTTTTTTAAATTTTTTGTCCATGAACAGAGCAAAAATATTCTGTATAATGTTTGATGGACTATCAGATTTACTATACCTAACTTTTAAGTCATGAATTAAGAGTTGGTGAGGTAAACTTTTACTAATGACTTACTTGTGCATTTTGTTTGTAACAGGATGCTCTATGATTACGTTGAAAGGAAGCGAAAGGAAAATTCAGGAGCCCAACTGCATGTCACCTATTTAGTGTCTGGCAGTCTCATTCAGAATGGACATTCTGTAAGTTCTCAGAATCTTATAATGAGTTTAGATGTGTTTGAGCTATTAATAGTGTTATGTAACATAACACAGAGCAAAAACAACAAGATCCCAGTATTATGGAAATTTTAGAAAGCTACTTGAAGACAGTGATTATTTTGAATTTTTAGGCTAAACCTAAACTTTAGACTAAACTCTTGGGAAGTTTGGGTAATATCAATACAGAGACTATTATCACTGTACAATTTCCCTAGGCAATAAGACATTCCAGACTGCTTCTGTTCCACTTTCTTCCTTTTGAAGCTATACTGGGGACAATGGTGGTTAATTTCCAGCCTGTTCAGATGTTAAGCCACACAGGTGTTCCGCAAGTATAATTTTTTTTTAAGTGAACTTGATTTTAATTTGAGCTTTCACCCCAGAAGCTCTGCTGAAATAACTCCATTCCTTCTCCTGTACTGGACTGATTCTTGGGAACTTAATTCCTTCTTTCTCGCTTCCTCCCCAAACTGAGGAACACCTTTTTGGTTCTCACTTCCTAAACCTCACCTGAAGGCTCTTTTGATCCCATACCACCAGCCCTAGAGAATTTAGCCCGAGGATCAAGATCCTCAGAGAATCACTGATGCATGTTTTCCTCTTCTCTTTTGACTTTCCCTGTGACACGTAAGTTCAGAAGCCAGATTTATCAAAATACTTAGTGGATTTGTCTTGTATCAATAGAGTCTTAAGAGTGTGAGATTCCAGACTGGAATGGCAGTTTAGTAATTTATAAGGAGAAACAGAACTATGATCAATGCAAAGAAATAGAGGAAAACAATAGAATGGGAAAGACTAGACATCTCTTCAAGAAAATTAGAGATACCAAGGAACATTTCATGTGAAGATGGGCTCAATAAAGGACAGAAATGGTATGGACCTGACAGAGCAGAAGATATTAAGAAGAGGTGGCAAGAATACACAGAACTGTGCAAAAAAGATCTTAACGCCCCAGTTAATCACGATGGTGTGATCACTTACCTAGAGCCAGACATCCTGGAATGTGAAGTCAAGTGGGCCTTAGGAAGTATCACTACAAACAAAGCGAGTGGAGGTGATGGCATCCCAGTTGAGCTATTTCAAATCCTAAAAGATGATGCTATGAAAGTGTTGCACTCAATATGCCAGCAAATTTGGAAAACTCAACAGTGGCCACAGGACTGGAAAAGGTCAGTTTTCATTCCAATCCCTAAGAAGGCAATGCCAAATAATGCTTAAGCTACCACACAGTTGCACTTATTTCACATGCTAGTAAAGTAATGCTCAAATTTCTCCAAGCCAGGCTTCAGCAATACGTGAACCATGAACTTCCAGATATTCAAGCTGGTATTAGAAAAGGCAGAGGAACCAGAGATCAAATTGCCAACATCCGCTGGGTTATCAAAAAAGCAAGAGAGTTCTAGAAAAATATCTATTTCTGCTTTATTGACTATGCCAAAGCCTTTGACTGTGTGGATCACAAAGTGTGTTGGAGAAGACTCTGGAGAGTCCCTTGGACTGCAAGGAGATCCAACCAGTCCATCCTAAAGGAAATCAGTCCTGGGTGTTCATTGGAAGGACATGTTGAAGCTGAAACTCTAATACTTTGGCCACCTAATGCGAAGAGCTGACTCATTTGAAAAGACCCTGATGATGGGAAAAATTGAGGGCAGGAGGAAAAGGGAATGACAGAGGATGAAATGGTTGGATGTTATCACCGACTCAATGGACATGAGTTTGGGTAGGCTCTGGGAGTTGGTGATGGACAGAGAGGCCTGGCATGCTGCAGCTCATGGAGTCGCAAAGAGTTGGACACGACTGAGCAACTGAACTGAACTGAAGGGCTATCAGATACTTATATTCTATGACTAGCATATTCTTTCCTTGTTGGTAAACTGTTTGGCAAGCCAGATGTTAATTAGATATTTGCAAGTGTAGATGAAATCAGATGTCATTATATATCAGAAACAAGATTAAGCAGACCTGATTCAAAGATGCGTAGGTTTTCTTTCTTTCTTTTTTTTTTTTTTTGATGTGTAGGTTTTCTATGGCTTTTTAAACAGGTAAGTAATTTTTATTTTTCCAGTGATTATTATTATTGTAAAAATTGCTTAATAATACATAGAAAGTAGAAATCTCCTTCTAATCTCATCCTGCAAAGTCTGCCAAAGCATTATTTGAATGTTTCAAGGAAATGATTGGTTGATTCTTTTTGTGATGTTAGAGGTTGTTGGCCTGATCCATTTTTAATTAGGTTCCCCATTAGCTTTTCATGTAATGATTTTAGCTGAGGTTGATTTTTATCATTACCTTGGTCATTATTTCTCTAGGAGTTACAAAATGGTGATGTTCTAATTCTGTCATTCCTTCTGGATTTACTGGCTGGAATGTTTCTATAAAGAAGAACTATCTCTCATCAACTAGCCATATTTTCCCCAATTTTTTTTTTTTTTTTTTTTTTTGGGAAACAGCTCAAGGTGCCTGCCCCAAGCCAGGCTCTGGGTTTATGGATGCTGAACTTACTCATGTGTTGCCCTTAACAGGAACCCACTGAATCGGAGCTCTACTCTCATTTACATTGTTTTAGCACTGGCATTTCCACTGCATTGTTTTTATGCATTTCTAATATCCCCTAAGGCATCCTTTAGAGATACTAAACTGTCTCAGCTGCCATGTTTTCTCCTGAGGGTACCAATTATTGTTTTTAGGGCTCCTGTTACATAGGTTTGAGTGATTAGTTCCTACTGCTCTTTTTCTCATAAGCTCTGTAGTTTTTATTGTACAATTTTGCAGAACATGACATTTTTAAGAATGCTTGTTTTTTTTAAGAGAAAATGCATTATGAAGACATACCAATATTCTCAGTTCATATTTACAATTACATTTTTTAAAAACTTACTCAATTTTATAGTACTCTTTTTTTCTTATGTTGTAAACTTTGGTTGTCCTAACATTAAAATGAATATGTATTTGCTTTAGCCGGATACATGAGATTTAGAAAGGCAAAACCAATAATTTTACTAACAATATGATGACTAAAGGCAGTTAAGGTTTGTAAGTGATCCCAAGCATTACTCTGGCAGTTATAGTAAAATTTCTCATTCCTCATTACAGCCACATGATCCTACATTGATGGATATACCTTAGTTTATTCAGCAGTCCCTTATTGATAGTTATTTGAGTTATTTACAATCTGATTATTACATATAGTGCCACAGTAAATAGCTCAATGTGTATGTGTTTTGTATGTTTTTGCCAGAGTGTTTTAGGATTATGTTCCTAGAGGTAGGCTATATATGAACTTTGCTGAATATTGCCAAATACTCTCCATTTTCCATTCCTACCAGCAATGTATGAGAGCACCTGTTCCTACACAGCACATGTTCTGTTCAGGATCATCTGCATTTCTCTTTTATGAACTGTGTCTTCATACTTCTTGCCTATTTTCTAAAGGATTATTAGTCTTTGTTTTCTCTATTTTAGAAGCTATGTGTTAGCCCTTTGTGATGTAAGTTGTAGATATTTTCCCCATTTGACCATTTGCCTTTTTACTTAAAATTGTTGGCTTTTTGTTATCCAAAAATGATTTGTTAGTTTTTATGGATTATTTCAGTTACTTCTGGGTTTTGAATTGCAGTCAAGAAACTTTTCTTTATTCTCAGGTTATATTAGTTTGTAGAAGAATTCACCCATATTTTCTTCTTGTGCATATATGGTTTAATTCTTTACTTTTAGATCTCTGATCCATTTAGAATTTATTTTTTTGTATGGTATGAGACAGATCCAATTTTTAACTGGTTCCATATGATTATACAGTAATACTCATTATGTTACTTACTGAAAATTCCTCTTTTCCTTGCAATAGGCAAAGTGCAAGTTTGAGATGCTGTATTTTTTTAATTTGGGTTTTGGGGGGGGGTTTGTTTTTGTTATTGATATCTCTCTCACTTTCCTTAACCTGATTGAGAAATTTTAAAGAAAACAAGTTAAAAATGAGACTGGAACATATATTTTCATAGGAACCTAAGGTTTCTAATTTTACATCCCAGTGCAGTTGAATTATTGGTAAGGAACCTTTAAAACTGCAAGTTGCACTATTAATACTTAAATACTAATGAAGTGTTATTTCCTTACAGTGCCACAAGGTTGCAGTAGTGAGAGAAGATAAATTGGAAGGTAAGTATTTTAGTGATTTAGCAAGTTTTTCCTCTTAGGGCATCAGTGTCATTAACATCACATATATATTTAGCTGTTTTACTGGAGAGCCATATATTCTTTTATTAGTAGTTTATGAAACATGTTAAAATATGACACTTCACTAACTTCCCATTTTTAAGGCCAATAGCTGCTAACATTTATAAAGCACTTTTATCACAGAATTTCAAAACTTGTGATAGATATGTAAAACACTTATGAATATCATATGGAACACCTCATTAACTATAAAAAGACAACGATCTCTAAATATTGTGTTGTATTCCATAGCAATATTTTTAGGAAGAAAATTAAAGAATGGTTTTATAAAGTCAGAAAGGCATAGTATAACTTGAAGTTAAATTTGTCTACCCATTTCAAGACTGTTAATGCTACTGTTCTATTTTTTAAATACCCAAGTCAAAGGAATTTTGAAACATCCACATGATCTTGGATGTCTCAAGACAAAACCCACTGTCATACTTTGTATATAAAGATGCCTACCACTGGAGTGTTTTCTTATACATTAACTGAATTATTCAAGATAGTGAAGATGTCCAGTATTTTCTTTCTGAATTCCCACAGTGGTAGATTTATTCATTCAGTAGATACATAGTAAGTATCTACTTTATGTCAAGCTCTATGCTAGGCACTAGGGACTTGGAACAAGTGAGGCATGGTCCCTTCCTTCATGGAACCTATAATTTGTTCTTGTGATTTTCCTCTGAAGACTTATTTGATTAGTAGTAGTATTGTTATATAGAGTTTCTTTTTATAAACTAAAATTGAAGACTTCTCAGGTAGAAATTACTTATTCCTCAGTTGGTATGTATATATGCTAGAGTATAAGATTCTACCCTGACTGAAAAAAAAAACAAAACACATCATAGTATCATCAGTTATTCATTAATATTTACTGAGTGTCCACTGGATGAGTGATACCCTCACAGTACTGTACTGAGAACTGACTCACCATCACCTACCTATCATAATGTCCTTGTCACAGACAGAAGAGTTGATACTATACTGTATATATGGCTGTTTGGCCTTTTAGAGCTTTTTTGGACCACCACCGATTACAAATGGTGTTAATGCAGAAGGGTTTCTTGTTAAAATCCCCACATGCTATGAAGTTTGTGTATTAACAGACTGCTTTTCCTGTTGACTTGTAGCAGTGAAGTCCAAGCTAGCGGTGACTGCCAGCGTACATGTGTACAGCATCCAGAAAGCCATGCTAAAGGACAGTGGGCCTCTGTTCAATACCGACTATGACATCCTTAAAAGCAACTTGCAGAACTGCAGCAAGTGAGCTCCTTAATGTTCCTTGTGGGCTTCTTTACGAATTGATTTTGTAAGATGTTTACACAGTGGCTGCCTCTTAAGAGTGAACGCCAAGTCTAGTAAAACCTCATTTATCTTGCAGTAAGACACATGCCTGGTTTTATTAGTACATCATAAGGTGAAAAATAGCCACAACCCATATTGAAAACCCCAGTAGACTCCCCATAAATCTACTTCTCATGTATTTATCCTGTCACTGCCACCAGAAATGTTGTTTTCGTGCCCCCTCATTACTCCTTTACCCAAGTCTCTGCTTGTCTAATTTCTACCCACCCTTCAAGAACCAATTGACATGTTGTCCTTCAAAAAACTATTCCTAATTTGACATCCTTCTACGTTCCATCCAAAATCAGTTGATCTTCCACAGCCAGCATCAGATCTTATTCATCTTTTGTATCCTTCACAGCGTGGGGAGGAGGTGGACTATAATATACGTGGTTCTGGAAATTAGTGGTCATGGGCTGGAGTTTTGACTTCATTGCTAATGGCCCAGTGGCTTTGGACAAGTTACTTAAACTCTTTTGGGCTTTTGTTTCCTCATTTTAAAATTGGATATAATAATGCCTACTTTGTGAGGTGGTATGGAGGGTTCGGAGCAGATTCTCAGACATGTATTGAACACCTACTACTTTGATATGCACTAAGCGAGATAATTTGAATTCAGCGAAGATCTGATGAGTACGTGTGACATGCCACATACTGTAGAGTGACTGTAGCCTGGTACCTGCTTATGGAACCGATGGTCTTACGGGAGGCAGTTATGGTATAGAGTGACAGTGCTACAATAGGAATGAGAGTGTAGGAGGATGTTGAGGGGCCACTTGTCCCCTCCTTTTTTGTTGGGGTCAAGACAGAGATGGCTTGTAGAAGGATATGGCATCTAAGTTGAGGCTTAAAGGCCTAGTAGAAGTAGCCAGTCAGAGGGAAGTGGGAGAGGAAAGACAGGGTCGAGAGGAAACACGATGCTTATGCAGAACCACTGTAGTTTTCTATACCTGAAAACTAGAGTGAGGGGCAGGAAATAATAATACAAGGAGTCAGACTCTATGCTTTGACTACTAGGATAAGTTTAGGCTTTATTGCACAGGGGAGCCACTGAAGATTTTGAAGCAGATGATTGAGATGATCAGAATTGTATTACAGAAAGATCACTCTGGCTGTGATGGTGAAAGTGGATCAGACAGAAATAATCTGCACACAAGTCCATTATGAAGGAGAAATGTTGCAGTGATTCAGGGTAGAAATGATAGTATCTGAAGTATAGAATTGGTATTGGGAATGGAGAAGTACATGGGTTATAGAGTCATACCATCAAAACCTGGATGGTATGGTAGTGGTTAGGGACCAAGAGAGTGTGTTATGGTGGAGATAGGAGGGCGGTTCATGACATTAAGGATGATGGCCATATTTCTGGTTTGAATTGCTGGATGGGTGATGATACCATCACTAAGAATGGGAATAGATGAAGAGGAGTAAGCTTTGGGAGAAGGGAAAAGTGATGAATTGGGTTTGGATATGTTGAGTTTGAGTACCAGATGGGGAGTCCAAGTGGAGATGTCCAGTGCAATAGATACGGGGGTCTAGAGCTAAGGAGAGAAATAGGAGGTAAAGATAGACATTTTGGAATCAGAGAAAATAGGTAATTGGGCTACAGCAGTAGATACAGTCATGCAGAGAGAATGTATAGGATGAAAGAAGAGCAGAAAGTTAAACTCTCGCCACAGTTAGTATCTGTGTAACCTTGGGCAAATTATTTAACCTTTCTACTTCATTTTCCTGAAATGAAACTAATAATAGTATCAACCTCAGGGTTGTAGGGGCTTCCCTGGTGGCTCAGACAGGAAATAATCTACCTGCAATGCAGGAGACTGGGTTTGATCCCTGGGTTGGGAAGATCCCCTGGAGAAAGAAATGGCAACCCTCTCCAGTATTCTTGCATGGGAAATTCATGGACAGAGGAGCCTGGTGGGCTATAGTCCTGGGGTTACAAAGAGTCAGACACGACTGAGTGACTAACAGGGTTGTAAAGGATTAAGTGAATAAATACATGTAAAGCACTTAGAACAATGCTTAGCACACAGTAAGCGCTATTTAAGTAATAGCTATTTTTTAAGAGGTCTTGCCTTGAGAATCCCAGGGACGGGGGAGCCTGGTGGGCTGCCGTCTGTGGGGTCGCACAGAGTCAGACATGACTGAAAGCGACTTAGCAGCAGCAGCAGCAAGGGGTGGACAGAAAAAGAGGGACCTAAGCGGGAGCAGCTAAAGATAAGAGGAAAGTCACAAGTGTATGGAGTTCTAAAAATTTAAGAAGACAGTTTCAAGAAGGAGGGACTAGCTGATAGTATCAGACCTTGTTGAGGAGGGGGATGTAATAGGAACTGAAAAGTGATGGCCTCAGTAAGAGCAGTTTCAGTGGTGCGGCCAGATTCTTGTCACCTGGGTAGATGGGGATATAAGGAAGTGAGAGAGCAAATAGGGACAACTTTCTAGGAAATTTAATGGTAAAACAGGAAAAAGAGAGGTTACCTGCTACAGAGGAATTGAGACTTGGGGGTGGGGGAAATGTATCCATTTTTAAAGTTGAGAATGCCTTGAACTTGTATTATTAGTAAAGAGCCATAAAAAGAAGAAATGGTTGAAGATACTGGCAGAGATGGATTAACTGATACAGTTGGGTCTATATCCAGGTAGATATAGAATTGCCAAAAATAATTTCTGTAAGTTCCATGAGAATAGGGATCGTCTATTTTGTTAACCACTGTATGCCTAAAATGGTGCCTGGTAACTATTAAATAAGTGATTGTTGAGTGAATTAATGGTAGACATTGGCTCTTTTTTTTTTCTACTTAAAACCTTGAATGTAATAGGCATGCAAATATTTATTAGATAAATAAATACAATTATACTGCTAAAGAGTAATTTATGTCTGGTGTCTTTTAGAGAAGGATTATAAGAAAACATAAACACCCTGATATGTTTATGTAATCTGTTAGATTTCAAAAATAATCTGTATTAAAATCTAGTTTTGGCATGTCAAGCTCTAAAAATCAATTCTATTGTGTCTAGCAAGTAAGGAAACTAATATAAAAGTGACACAAAAGTCCAAAATCAAATTTGCATAGAGACCACTAAAATAAACATGGCAAGTAGAAATGTGATAGTAGGAAGCAATTCAGTGAAACTTTACTTAAATACTTAAAATATCCTCAGTAGAAATGTGAAGAAAATAATAAATAAAAAAGAAATGTAAAGAATTTATTTCCAATAAAGAAGTTTGTATTTGGTCCTGAGAATTATGGGTCAACTGAGATCTGACTCATTGTTTCATGTGTTTTAAGAAGTGCTATGACAGGAAGAAAGCTGAAATTTTAGATTGAGCAGATTCTTCTCTCTTCAGACATGTTCCCAGTCTAACTTGGTCTCTTCCTCATTGCCAGTTCCTGGTCCTGACCCTAAGGTGTGGAAATGTAGACCAAATGGAGAAAGAGTTGTCTTGGGGCCAACTTTAGATGCTGACAATGAAATAAAACATTGCTCTCTTTCCTTGTACATGGAAGCATTGCAGGGCCAGAGAGGAAGAATGGTGGGTGAAAGGAAATGATTTCCGTCTGTTCTTGAGTCTGATGCACAAAATATTTGTGTTAATGTGAGGTTTTTCTATGTAGACTGTAATAAATCAGTGGAAGGTTTTTGGAGCTGTGAACTCTTGCTTGGGGCTGTTCAGCCTAAAGTTACTTCAGAAATTAAATGATTTTATCCAGGTTTTTTCCCTTAGGCAAGTTAATCTCAAAGTTGTGCCTGGTTGATTTCTAAGGTAATTGCTATCATTATGTAGTTTCTTAACCTCCATCTTCTCCCATCCCAAGGTGAGATGATACACTAAAGAAGAGAGAGAAGCCAGAAGACTCACTTTCCATGTCTTAAATAATCTCTCTTTGAATCTATATTTGTATGTGCCAGGTCTTGTCTTAGGTACCTGAAATACAAAAGATGAATAATACACTTACCTTCAAGGAGCTCTCACCTATCCTCAAGAAGCAAAAGACTGAGGGAAGTAAAATGTTGTTCTTTGTCAGGAACTGTTGGAAAACTTTGCTTTAAGTACAGCCATTTGAGAAGGATGGATCAGTTACCCATTTACAACATAGAACACTATATTATGGATTTTTGTGAAACAGGCACATCTATGATGATTACAGAGGAAGAGATGAATGTTCCCTTTAATATGGCATGCAAATTGTGCCAAATTTTTCACTTGGCTATGGGCATACTTCTCTGGTGCTGTTAGTTGAGATTATTATAAATTATTAACAAATGACTATAAAGGACCACAGGTTATAGGAGCTAGTGGCTCTGTTCCCAGTTTATTCCGTGTTCTAAAGCATGATCCATTCTGGTCAGGAGAGTTGCCAGGAAATTTGTTAATATTTAAAGCTTTAATTTTGATTCAGTCAATATTTATGGTATATCTAGCCCTGTAAGGTGGAGGTCTTTAAAAATAAAGAGATAACCATTTGGTTTACCAAAGTTGGTGAAATTACTAATACTTTCTTATTGTTTGGTATATTCTTACTATTTTGAATTAGGATGCTTTTTTCAAAAAAGCAAAAATACCCATAGTTTGGTAGAAGATACCTGTTTTCAGTCTTAGTTTTATTACCAACAAGATGTATAATCTAGGACTTCACTCTCCTCTCTGTAGTACTTGTTGCACAAACTCATTTCTAAAATCCATTTTAGTTCTAAAATTTCCTAATTTTATAGTATTTGGTTAGAAAGTATTGTGTAGAAGAAGCAAGAGTTTGAAAATAAGGTTTGATATTGACAATTAATTTAATGTAACATTTCTCTCCTCAGGTTTAGTGCCATCCAGTGTGCAGCTGCAGTCCCTAGAGCCCCTGCTGAATCCTCATCTTCTGAAACGTTTGAGCAGTCAGATCTTCCGGTATCACCTGAGACACAAGCCAGTAATGAGTTGACCACCAATGGTCATGGCCCATCTATCCCCAAACAGAGTTCCCAGCAGCCCAAAGGAATCATGGGCATGTTTGCTTCTAAAGCTGCTTCTAAAGCCCAAGATGCCAATAAGGAAACCAAAACAGAGGCTAAAGAAGTAACAAATGTAAGTCTTCTATAAAAAAATGTGCTTTTACAGCTCAGAATGGGTAACTAGAAAAGCATTTAATAATTCCAGTGGTTGTAGTTTAATTATATAAGGTTCTGATATTTAGTTCTAGTTTTTTCTACCTTGGTGTAAATCATTTAATTCTTGGGCCGATAGTTTGATCTTTAAATCCTCATTTTCCGTTCTGTGATCATCTTGTTAAGTACTTTGGATGTCGTATTGCTGTTAAGTGGTGAAACCAGAATTCACTTCCACTTACGATGATTACAAATGTAATGTTCTGGGGTTTTTTCCCCGTTTTGTACCATACTGCCTCTGATCTGTTTTAATTCTGTCAAAGTAAGTAGTTTTTAAATATAATAAAAAAATGTTTAGACACATTCATGGATAATAATTTTATAAAAACTATGAGAAACTAAGCTTTGGAGATGAATACCAAACACTGTATGGTCTGGCTTTGTTCTTATACCTAGTATCTGTACACATTTTGGCATGAGGCTCTATGATCACGACAGTGTGTTCTACTGTTGACATTTTGGACTGTTTCTTGAAGAACAGCCTAAACACAGAAAGAAAAATCATGTGTGTTTTCTTTTGCTTTGCTTTCAGGCATCTTCGGTAGGCCCCAAGGCACCAGGGAAAGGGAATGTCATAAGCAATTTTTTTGGAAAAGCTGCTATGAGTAAGCATGTTCTTACATTCCTTTGACTAATATGTGAATGTTAATATAATAACCTTTTATCTGAGGTGAAGACCACCTGTCCAGTTTTTACCCATCTAACACACTACTATGTGGTTTTCCTACATCCTGACATAAATTTGCAGTCTACAAACCTGTGTATTGATGAACATAACCAACTGGAACAGTGGATTTTACGGGTGAGCTGATTTGGTTGAGATCTCCTGAAGGATAGTTTACTTATTTCTGATTTTACTTCCTGACTTGGAAAGAGAATTAAATATTTGTTTCATAGGGTTCTTGAAAATGAGTGATTAAAGTAAAAGGGAAGTTGCTTGGTTAAACAGTGCAGTGTTAATATCTTGGATGCTTTGTCAGTTTGCCTGGTATGATCATTTTTGCCTCTGTTTTCCAAGGGGCTACAAAAACAAATTTTTTGCCTTTCTTATTTTTGCAGATTACTTACAGTAATGAACTAGACCTCGGTTTGAATTAGGAGGGCCCAGGTAGTAATGGCCATTTATAAATGTTTACATTTTGAGAAAGCAAATCTCCTTTATTTAAAAATATATATTTGGATGAGACTTCTTTCAAATAAAAAGAACCAATAATCACATATTTCTGTACTTCTCATATCAAATACACATCCCCTGAGGGTATGTGGCCAGAATACCAGGAAGAATGCAGGAGTTGCAGGGTAATTATGGCACACTTCTTGGAGCATAATGCTTTACAAAGATTTTGTGGGAAGCATTTTTGTTACATGCCTATGCAAGCAAAATTAGTCAGAAATCTGCTTTTCTGTGATGGTCATAATGGTAGTTAGGGGATAGATTGGGGTGATAGTTTTTTTATTTTCCATAAAAGCCATCAGAAAACATTTTTATATTCTGAAAAAAATGATGAAAATTTGCTACTTTCAGGTTACTGGGAAAGCATGACTGTATTATTTCAGGCCCAATGCATAAGGCCAGTGCAGGAGATACAAGAGATGTGGGTTTGATCCCTGGGTCAGGAAGATTCCTTGGAGGAGGAAATGGAAACCCATTCCATTATTCTTGCCTGGAAAATCCCATGGACAGAGGAGCATGGAGGGCTACAGTCCATGGGGTTGCACAGAGTCGGACACGACTGAGCACCTGTACACACAGTGCATGAGGAGGGCTCTCTCTGTGGAAACATATCATGCTGAGGTCTATCATCTTATGAATGGATAAGCAATATGTGATAGATGTATATTTTTCAGCCATAAAAAGCAATGAAGTACTGATACATGCTACAAAATAGATGAACCTTGAAAATGGCAAAATAAAAGAAGCTGAACACAAAAGGCTACATGTTATATGATTCCATGTATACAAAAGGTTCAGAATAGGCAAACCTATAGAGACAGAAAGTCTATTAGTGGTTGTTAAGGGATGGTTTGTGGAGTACAGGATTTCTTTTAGAGGTGATGAAATGTTCTAAAATTGGATAGTGGTGTTGGAATTAAGAAGCACTGAATTGTACAGTTTATAAGGGTAAATTTCATGATATATGAATTCTGTCTCAGTAACAAGCACCTTAATGTTTTATATATTTTTAAAAATTGCAGCATTGGTGACAAATTAGAAAGTCGTCATCTGTTATCTTTCTTTGCTTAAAAAGGTGTTTCATATTTTTTTGAGTATAAAAAGGAGATGCTTTTCTGCTGTCATAATTCATAAGCTGCGTACTCTTGGGAAACATCTTTAATCCCTCTGACTCTTAATTTCCTCATCTAACAAATGAGAATGTTGGTACTTCATAAATTTGTATTCATTTTTTTCTTAAGACCTACTTTTACTATCATTTGGCCTGGGGGCTATGATATAATGAGGGATTAGCAGGAGGCAGAAATGAAAACAGTTTCAACTAGAGTGGTAGTTGGAAAGGAGAAATGTTCTCTTGACTAGACCATGAGCTCTGTTAGGACGAGGACTGTTTTTCATCCCTTTAGCCCATGTTCCTAATATATTACCTGGCACTTAGTAAACTGTCAAAGGAATGATAAATTAATATTGCACGACGGGGTTATATATCATCTGCTATACTTTATTTATAGATAAACTTAAAGTCAATTTGGACTCAGAACAAGAAGTGAAAGAAGAAAAAAAAGTGGAGCAACCTCCACTGTCTGTCACGGAACCAAAGCTGGCAGCCCCTGTGGGCCTGAAGAAATCTAGCAAAAAAGCAGAGCCTGTTAAGATGCAACAGAAAGAAAAAAAGAGGTAGGAAAATTTTGTTGCTTGTGAGGGAAGAGTGTCTCTGCTGGGGGTGAAAAGGTCTGTTTGGGCTTATTGACAGGCAGGCAGTTTTCAGTTGAGTACTAAATCCTACTTAATGCCTTAGGGATACAGCTGTATAACCAAAATGAAGAGAGACGCTCCATAGCTTATCTAGTGAAGCAGAACTTGAATCAACCAGTTTGGATGATGTAGAGCTCAAAGCCAGTTTTTTGGGGCTCCATTGATATAAATTGATTGTCTTTCCCCCGTTACTTCATTTTATATTCGTGGACATGGCACAAGTGTGCCTGAGTATATGTCTCTGTGTCTGTTTTTCACCTTAGATTGCCAAATGAGGGGTTACTGTTTCCAGTGAAATTTAAGAGAAAAAGTTCTTTGTTTTCTTTTTGTATCAATGAGTTTATTTTTCAAGTGGTAAAGTGTAATTAGAAAAGAAAATAAAAAGCACACAAGCTGTTAAAAATGAATCCAGGAATTTGAGACACTACCTCATAGTTGGTAGGAACTAGTCTGTTGAAAGAAATTCTAAAGGACACTGTCAGCACTGATAGGCCCAGCAATACTTGACTTTGGTGGCAAGGTTGTGGCTACTCTATTAGAAAACATAAACAAAATGCTGAAGTTGCAGAGGGTCAGAGCTCTGTCCAGCGAGCCTCACCTCCTCAGAACGTGTGATATGGATGGGTTAAAATGTCTCCTACCATGAGTACAACACTCATTGATGGTTATTGCCAGGATCACATTCAGCATTTCACCACCAAGTGGGATGTTAACTGTGTGTTTTTAACACATGGTCTTCCCTTGTGGTTCAGCTGGTAAAGAATCCGCCTACAACGCGGGAGACCTGGGTTGGGAAGATCCCCTGGAGAAGGGAAAGGCTACCCACTCCAGTATTCTGGCCTGGAGAATTTCATGGACTATACAGTCCATGGTGTTGCAAAGAGTTGGCATTTTAATACATGAACTTTACCAGATTCAGGAAGTTCTTTTCTGTTCCTAGTTTGATGTTTTATAAAATGAGTGTTGAATTTTGACAGATACTTCTACATTTATTGAGGTGAATGTATGGTGTTTATAAATGAGTTGAATTTTGACAGATACTTTTCCTACATTTATTGAGGTAAATGTATGGTGTTTCTGTTAATTTGGTGAATTATACTGACTGGTTCTCAAATTTTAAACCAACCTTGCATTCTTGAGATAAACCCCACTTGGTCATGATGTATTATCCTTTTTATATATTGATAGATTTGATTTGTTAATGTTAAGAATTTTTTGCATCTATGTTTATGGGGGTATAATCAGTTATATTATCTTTGCTGGTAGTCTTTACCAGATTTCAGTATCAAAGTTATGCTTATTTCATGTGATTAGTTAGGAGGAGTTTTCTTCTTCCTCTGTTTTCCAAAAGAGTTTATGTAAGATATATATTATTTTTTTCTTAAAAATTTGATAAAATTCACCAGTGGATCTAGGCTTGGAGTTTTCTTTGTGGGAAAATATTTATTATGAATTTGATTTCTTTAAATAGAACTATTCAAGTATATCTTTATTCTTTTGTGGTCAGTTTTTAATGTGTTTTTTAAAATTTATTTATTTATTTTTAAAATATGGAACACTTCACGAATTTGCGTGTCATCCTTGCACAGGGGCCATGCTAATCTTCTCTGTGTTCCAATTTTAGTATATGTGCTGCCAAAGCGAGCACTTGAATCTCTTTTTAAAAGAATTTATTTCATCTAAGTTAAAATTGTTCTTAATCTATATAACCTTCTTTGAATATCTATAGAATCTGTAGGTATTGCTACAGATTTCTTCTTTCATTCCTAGTACTGGTAATATGTACTTTTTATCAATCTTGTAAAAGTCTTACTAATTTTATTAGTTTTCTTGAAAAATAATTTTTACTGTTTTAAATTTTCTATTTCATTGATTTCTGCTCTTTATTTTTCCTTCTACTTTGGGTTTATTCTTTTTCTAGCTTAAGGTAAAAAAATGTATTGATATTTGTTATGTAAGAAATATGGTTGAAGGTAAAAACTATGTCTTGTCCTTATTTGTGTCTGTAACACACAGTAGGCCCTTGATAAATTATTGTTGATTGAATGAATAGTGTGGTGGAGTATCCAGATAGAAGAGCTAAATGATGTCAAGATGGATTTAGGTTTTTTTATTATGTTATTGTTGCTGTTCAGTTGCTAAGTCGTGTCTGACTCTGCGACCTCATGGACTGCAGCACACCAGGCTTCCCTGTCCTTCACTGCCTCTTGGAGTTTGCTCAGACTCATGTCCATTGAGTCGGTGATGCCATCCAACCATCTCATCCTCTGTCGTCCCCTTTTCCTCCTGCCTTCACTCTTTCACAGTATCAGTCTTCTCCAGTGAATTGGCTCTTTGCATCAGGTGGCCAAAGTATTGGAGCTTCAGCATCAGTCCTCCCAATGAATATTCAGGGTTGATTTCCTTTAGGATTGACTGGTTTGATCTCCTTGCAGTCCAAGGGACTCTCAAGAGTCCTCCAGCACCGCAGTTTGAAAGCATCAGTTCTTTGGCACTCAGCCTTCTTTATGGTCCAACTCTCACATCCATATGTGACTATTGGAAAAAACCATAGCTTTGACTATATGGACCTTTGTCAGCAAAGTGATGTCTCTGCTTTTTAATACACTTTGTAGGTTTGTCATAGCTTTTCTTCCAAGGAGCAAGCATCTTTTAATTTCATGGCTGCAGTTACTATCCACAGTGATTTTAGAGTTAGAATCACCTTAATGTTTTCTGCCTGTGCCTTTGTTCATATTGTTCTTTCTTTTTAAAATTATGTCTCCCTTTTCTATCTGATAAACTGTTTAGATTTTGAAGTTTTAAAATAAGACTCATGTCACTTAACATTTATTTGTTCAGAAAAATTTATCATACTGTATTTTATAGTCAGTGGTATTTGTATCTGTTTTTCCTGCCAGAGCTTTTTGAGACCAATGGTACTTTTTTTGATCTTTGCATCTGGGTGTTTAGCAAAAATTCTTTATGTAAGTAGTAGCTGCTTATTTAATGCTTGTTGAATGACTGAATCAACAATCATTCAACTGTTGCATTCATAATGCTTGTTGAAGTAAGGAATGAATTATGAATGCATTCATAATGCTTGTTGAGTGACTGAATCAAAAGTAGGGGAAGTAAGGAATTTAGAGAAATTTTCAATAACCTGGTAAGTAGCTTACAGTGGTCTTTAGAGAGCTAGAGGAAGTTTTTATTCTGAAGTGACTTAGTTGTGTGTGGTCAGTTAGCAGAGTATCCTTTGGGTCTTTTATGACTTTTATTTTCTACCCTCTGGAATTAAATTCATGAATTATGAAGCAAGGCCGATAGTAGCATATGAGTACTTATATTTTTATTTTGTGTAACATGCTTAAATTATTCCCGAATGACAACAGGAGGAAGCAAGTGGAGTTATCTGATGATGAGACGAAAGAAACTGAAAACATGAAGAAAAAGAGGAGAAGAATCAAACTTCCTGAGTCTGATAGCAGTGAAGATGAAGGTGGGCATTGCTAACTTTTTTATTTTAAATTTTAATTTAAAGTTTTAATTTTTGGCTAGTGGGATTGTCTCAGTCAAATTGGGATGCTATTATAAGAATACCATAGACTGGGAGGCGTAAACCACAGGACTTTATTCCTTACAGTTTTGAAGGCTGAGAAGTTCAAAATCAAGGTACAAGCTGATTCAATTCCTAGGAGAGGCTCTTTTCCTCATTTGTAGAAGAATACCTCCTTGCTGTGTTCTCCATGGTAGAGAAAGAAAGAAATCTTCTTTGTGTCTCTAATCCCATTCATTATGATCCTGTCCTCATTTTATCCCCCAAAGGTCCTCTTCCTGCTACTACTGAGGATTTGGGCTTAAACATACAAATTTTGAGGGAACACAAATATTCGGTCCACAGAAGGATCAGTTCTTCTTATGATGACTTTAGCTCAAGAAGCTAAAAAGTTGCTTATTATGGGTTGCAGTGACAGTAGTAATCCTAGCACTGAGAGACACAATGTACCTATTTCTGTTCAACTTAACCTTTTAACAAGAACCATAATCTTCTGGTAATTTGTGAAAGTAGCAAACACAAAAAGGAGGAGAATAAGGATTATTATTATATTTATTATCAAGGACGTTTTCCTTTTTAAAAAATAAAATGGAGCTCTTCCTTTGGGTGTTTGGTATGGACCTAACAGAAGCAGAAGATATTAAGAAGAGGTGGCAAGAATACACAGAAAAACTGTACAAAAAACATCTTCACAACCCAGATAATTACAATGGTGTGATCACTCACCTAGAGCCAGACATCCTGGAATGTGAAGTCAAGTGGGCCTTAGAAGGCATCACTACGAACAAAGCTAGTGGATGTGATGGAATTCCAGTTGAGCTATTTCAAATCCTGAAAGATGATGCTGTGAAAGCGCTGCACTCAATATGCCAGCAAATTTGGAAAACTCAGCAGTGGCCACAGGACTGGAAAAGGTCAGTTTTCATTCCAATCCCTAAGAAAGGCAATCCCAAAGAATGCTCAAACTACCACACAATTGCACTCATCTCTCACGCTAGTAAAGTAATGCTCAAAATTCTCTAAGCCAGGCTTTGGCAATACATGAACCAAGAACTTCCAGATGTTCAAGCTGGTATTAGAAAAGGCAGAGGAACCAGAGATCAAATTGCCAATATCTGCTGGATCATTGAAAAAGCAAGAGAGTTCCAGAAAAACATCTATTTCTGCTTTATTGACTACGCCAAAGCCTTTGACTGTGTGGATCACAGTAAACTGTGGAAAATTGTGAAAGAGATGGGAATACCAGACCACCTGACCTGCCTCTTGAGAAACCTGTATGCAGGTCAGGAAGCAACAGTTAGAACTGGACATGGAACAACAGACTGGTTCCAAATAGGAAAAGGAGGACATCAAGGCTGTATATTGTCACCCTGTTTATTTAACTTATATGCAGAGTACATCATGAGAAACGCTGGGCTGGATGAAGCACAAGCTAGAATCAAGATTGCCAGGAGAAATATCAATAACCTCAGCTATGCAGATGACACCACCCTTATGGCAGAAAGTAAAGAGGAACTAAAAAGCCTCTTGATGAAAGTGAAAGAGGAGAGTGAAAAAGTTGGCTTAAAGTTTAATATTCAGAAAACTAAGATCATGGCATCTGGTCCCATCACTTCATGGCAAATAGATGGGGACACAGTGGAAACAGTGTCAGACTTTATTTTGGGGGGCTCCAAAATCACTGCGGATGGTGACTACAGCCATGAAATTAAAAGACGCTTACTCCTTGGAAGGAAAGTTAATGACCAACCTAGATGGCATATTAAAAAGCAGAGACATTACTTTGCCAACAAGGTCCGTCTGGTCAAGGCTGTGGTTTTTCCAGTGGTCATGTGTGGATGTGAGAGTTGGGACTGTGAAGAAAGCTGAGTGCTGAAGAATTGGTGCTTTTGAACTGTGGTGTTGAAGACTCTTGCAAGTCCCTTGGACTGCAAGGATATCCAGCCAGTCCATCCTAAAGGAGATCAGTCCTGGATGTTCATTGGAAGGACTGATGCTGAAGCTGAAACTCCAATACTTTAGACACCTCATGCGAAGAGTTGACTCATTGGAAAAGACTCTGATGCTGGGAGGGATTGAGGGCAGGAGGAGAAGGGGACGACAGAGGATGAGATGGCTGAATGGCATCACGGACTCGATGGGCATGAGTTTGAGTGAACTCCGGGAGTTGGTGATGGACAGGGAGGCCTGGCATGCTGAGATTCATGGGGTCACAAAGCGTTGGACACGACTGAGCGACTGAACTGAACTGAACTGAACTTCCTTTGGGTACCTTCATGTGTGTCTTATAAAATGGATGAGATTGTAGACATCAAGGATAATGGTGCTGTTTTGTATCACATAAGTAAAACCACACTAAGATCAATCTGCATTGTTGTTGTTGAAAAGGAATGACACTGTGGACCTTCCTAATTTTAAGTTGTAGACACTGTTATAAAATAAGTGAACAGAGTAAGGGCAAGAATCTCGCCTGAAAAATTAATGTGCCTTTTAAGAGAATATCAAGTAGTCTAAGAGCCAATTCAAGTATTCGTCCCAAATTGGGTAAACGAAAATATATAGAAAAAAGAGGGACTTCTCTGATGGTCCAGTGGTTAAGACTGCACTCCCAGTGCACGGGGCCCAGGTTCAATCCCTGGTCAAGGAACTAGATCCTACATGCAACTAAGATTCTTCAAGCACATGTCAATGAAGATCCCTTAGTGCCACAACTAAGACCCAGTACAGCCAAGTAAGTTTTTTTTTAAAAAAGACCAAAGAGAACGACTCCTGGGTTGGACTGATATGCCATATGACTTCAACTCTGAAAAGCCTGCTCTGAGAACCGGTGGTGAAAAGCTTGAGCTGCTATGATTGATTCTCCATGAATTCATGGCATAGAAAGCATTTTAGGAAATGGCCAGAACTCTCATCCAAAGGGATTCATTCAGCATCATATAAAGGTAGACAAAGGCAAACAAACTGAAAGATTCTTTAAGAGATTAAAGAAAAATGAATGCAAAAAAAGAAACCTGCTATGCTGTTGAAGGGCAGAGCTAAACTTGTTAAACTCCAGTCTTACCAGAAACTACTGTAAGAAGCACTGAAAGTGGTAACAGAGGCAATCCAAACTGGGGGGGGTGGGGGGTGGGGGTGGTATTAACTCAAGTGAGTTGAGAAACAAATTATATATATAGATGACAGTCACACAAAGGAAATGAACAGACCTAAGAAACTGTACAAGCAAGTTGACTGTGTCTATGGCAGAGCTGCACCTTTGACTCCTCCCTGGACTTAGGGTTTTTGTTGACTGTGAAACAGATAGGGAGAATGCTGAATCCTCATTCCATGTCATTTATCAAAATGCTTTAACCAAGACCACAGAAAGGAAGATTTCAAAGTGTATAGATGAAACAGCCCTCAAGGAGCATTCTGATTGGTTAAGAGTTGAGGAAATAGAGGCAACTCTGCAGACACACAGGAAAATAACTTAGGATGTAACTTAGGAATGTGTGCTAACTGGAGTAGTCATCCCTAATTCCAACCAGGGAAAGAACTTGAGGAAGATTCTAGATAAGTCTTTGAAACCATTAGCCTTAATATACATTAAAAAATAAACTAGATACTCTAGTATTAGTGAAGGAGTCAGCTGTAATGCTGTGATTGATTGACACTCTTTACATACTTCTGAAATACTCTCTATAGTTCTGATCCTTAGCTCACAAAAATGATACTCTCAAGTGACAAGAAATAAGAGTGGGGTTATTTAGCCTAGAAGGGAGAAGAAATGTGAAAGAGGAGGTGGACAGCCTATAATAACATGATATAGAGCAGAGACTCTCAGATTTTTTTTTTTCTGGGAAAGATAATTTTTGGCATCTGACTAAATTTATAAACTATTGCCATTTTATTCCTAAATTTCTTCTTTGTCTCAGAGCCAATGGGATTTTACTTTAAACTTTCATACAGTCTCTAACCTACTGTTGCTTTATTTCTGCTATGCTGAACATGTGCTGTTAGTTCAGTATAATATCTTCAGCTAGAAGTTAGCAGCAAGAGTGGAGCAAATGACAACAAAGGAAACTATAAGCAAGGTGAAAAGACAGCCCTCAGATTGGGAGAAAATAATAGCAAACAAAGCAACAGACAAAGGATTAATCTCAAAAATATACAAGCAACTCCTCCAGCTCAACTCCAGAAAAATAAATGACCCAATCAAAAAATGGGCCAAAGAACTCAACAGACATTTCTCCAAGGAAGACATACAGATGGCTAACAAACACATGAAAAGATGCTCAACATCACTCATTATCAGAGAAATGCAAATCAAAACCACAATGAGGTACCATTATACGCCAGTCAGGATGGCTGCTATCCAAAAGTCTACAAGCAATAAATGCTGGAGAGGGTGTGGAGAAAAGGGAACCCTCTTACACTGTTGGTGGGAATGCAAATTAGTACAGCCACTATGGAAAACAGTGTGGAGATTTCTTAAAAAGCTGGAAATAGAACTGCCATATGACCCAGCAATCCCACTTCTGGGCATACACACCAAGGAAACCAGATCTGAAAGAGACACGTGCACCCCAATGTTCATCGCAGCACTGTTTATAATAGCCAGGACATGGAAGCAACCCAGATGCCCATCAGCAGACGAATGGATGAGGAAGCTGTGGTACATATACACCATGGAATATTACTCAGCCATTAAAAAGAATTCATTTGAATCAGTTCTAATGAGATGGATGAAACTGGAGCCCATTATACAGAGCGAAGTAAGCCAGAAAGATAAAGACCATTACAGTATACTAACACATATATATGGACTTTAGAAAGATGATAACGATAACCCTATATGCAAAACAGAAAAAGAGACTCAGATGTATAAAACAGACTTGTGGACTCTGAGAGAAGGCGAGGGTGGGATGTTTCAAAAGAACAGCATTGAAACATGTATATTATCTAGGGTGAAACAGATAACCAACTCAGGTTGGGTACATGAGACAAGTGCTCGGGCCTGGTGCACTGGGAAGACCCAGAGGGATCGGGTGGAGAGGGAGGTGGGAGGGGGGACTGGGATGGGGAATACACGTAAATCCATGGCTAATTCATTTCAATGTATAACAACTACTGTAATGATGTAAAGTAATTAGCCTCAAATAAAAAAAAAAAGAAAAGAAAAAAAAAAAAAAGAGTGGAGCAAATGGCAGAGACTTTGGAGTCAGACAGACCTGGGTTTAAAATCTTACCTCCACTACTGACTGTGTGACTTTAGGCAGGTTACTTAACTTCTTCAGTTCCTTGTTTTCTCTAAGATAGGATGTTATCACATAAGATAGGCCTTTTATGAACATCAAATAAAATGCTGTTTCAAAAGTGCCAGGACAATACTTAACGTATAATCAGTTTTCTTAATGTTCACCCCACTTTTCCTGTTGAAATTCAGTAAGCGTTTAATGGTAATAATATACTTGTGAAAGTACCTTCTCTCGGAAAATTCCCTTCAACTTCATATTCTTAACTGTATACCTGAGAAAGTATTCCTTTCTCTTTCTCCCTGGCAGGATCATAAGCACCGTTAGCAGTTCTGTATACTCTTTTTGTAAAGTAAAGAAAAGCCAGACCCAGAAAGAAATAACATTAAGAGTAATATCTATATTGCTAGGAAAAAGTAGTTTTAACTGGTATGTTTCAGTCTTTGCTACCGTTTTCAGTCCTTGCAAATTGTTTATAGAGAATGGTAAGCAAATGACCCACCCCCACCCCTTTTTTGAAGGTTAAGATAAGTAGTTTAAAAAATTTCCTAGGAAGCTATGAATGGTTTCCAGGAATTCTAATTACCCATCTCTTCCAGAAAACTGATAAACAGTGGTTACATTGCTAGATCCCTGCAATTATCTTTACCACAGTTCTTATTCTGCCCCAGTGAAGGGTGCTTTCCTGGGATAAGTGATGTTTCACTACTTGAGTACCTTTCATCTGAAGAGCTGCAAAATCAGTTACAAATATATTTAAAACACACCAATATATCCATCATTACATAGCTTATATCACTAAAAATATGTTGAAGGAGTATGGTCATCTTGGTAATAGAGACTAAGGCAGACAGACATGGATTCTAGTATATGAATGTGGGCAAGTTTTGTTTTTTTTTTTAATCTCTTTGAACCTTGGTTGTATAAAACAAATAGTAGTAGTGATTTTTGTGGGGTTATTATAAAAATGAATGATTAATGTTTGTAAGCCCAGAAAATTCTAGTTGTTTTCCCTATCCTTTCTTAAAATATTACAATTTTTAAAAAAATTTAAGTAATACATATATACAATTTCAAAAATCAGATAAAGTACAAGAGTTACATATTAATAGTAACCTCTCCTATCATACTCAACCTAATTGACTGATGCTTCTCTTGTCAGCTTTTTCCCATCCACCTTCCATCTTCCAAGTGTTTGTTGAAATTTCTTATTCCTTAAGAGCTCTTGGCTTCTGTGATGTTCTCTTCCCTATTATGAGGGGTTTACAACATTTCTTTCCTTTATTATTGTTATAATGTTTCTCCGTGAGGATGTGTGAAAGGGAGAGGGAGGCATATGCTGCATCTTCCTTGACTTGGAAGCTCCTCATCCCAAATATAGTTCAGAAAATGATTCTTTTATTAAAAATGTTACTGTATATTCAGCACTAGGGAAATGGTGGTGCCTCTGCCTGTATGGAGCTTAGAGTCTGAAGGGGGACTCTAAACAGCTCCATACGTGCAGTGAGAGGGGTCTTATTAGACAGTGCCACTGGGATTATGTGTTTTCCTTGGTTAAGTCAAGTGGCTGCAGAACTGGAAACAGAATAAGAACTCATAAATTTATGACTGAGCACTCAAAATTCCTTTTCTTTGGCGCCCTCACTGCATAAACTTCTCTCCTGCCACTGTAGCTCATTGCTTCAGAGCTTTCTTAATAGCTGCACCTTCAGGAAAATGGGTGCTTGGTTCTGGTGGTTTGACTGGACTTTTCCTTAGGCAAGCTCCCGTCGTGTTCTAGCCTCCCAGTGCTGGTTAATAGCTGGACCACTTTGCTTTCATGTTTCTATTTCCTAGAGCTTATAAAGTTTGGGGGCCCATTTCATACTTGAAGTGTGTAATTTATTGTTTCTTTCTGGCTGTTGTTCTGCTTCACCTCTTTAGGTCATTTGGCCTTGAACTCTCCACTGTCATAATTTTTAACACTGACCTAATGAGTTGGGAGAATTTCAATCCAAGACTTGTGCTAAAAATTTGAATACAGCCAGGAGATTCAGGGAGCAGGTGAGGCTAAGCAGCTCCCCAGTCCCTTGACCAGCAGTTTCTTTGCGGTAATTAAGCAATGGGTCAGCTGAGGATTTTCACTTCCCTTCTCATGGGCCTTAAACTAAGACCACTGTTTCTGGAACTGTTCGAAACTGATGGGATCCCTCTGGTGGTGCTCTCTTTTCAGGTGGTACCTCTTTCATAGCGATATTTCTCTCCTTAAAGTACTCTTTTCCTGCTAATCATATTAACGAGCAAGTCTTAGTTGTTAGAGCTATAATTGTGATCATTGTTTCAAAGATGATTCCACAACCCCACAGTTTATGCTGTTCAATGTCAGCTGGAAAATTTAAGTCTAACAAACATCTCAGGTGATTGCAAATAATCCTTAAGTCACAGTCACAAAATCATTGTTACTATTACTGCATACAACTGAAGTTCAAAGAGATTTTTTAAAAACTTGCCCACATTCATATGTTAGGATCCATATTGGTCTGCCTTAGTCTTTATTATTAACCCAAGTGTTCTCCTTCAGTATGCTTTTAGTGACATAAGCATAAGGAATGATGGATGTGTTGGTGTGTTTCAAATGTAATGGAGTTGTAGCTCTTTAGTTGAAAGGTGCTCACACTTAGTATAATCTGAGGACTCTCTCCACTTACTTGATCTTAAGAAAATGTCTGTACCTTAGTGGTAGGCAGCATGGGATAGTTGAAATAATCAGGCTGTGGAATCAGACTGACTGGGGTTTAAAACTTCCTGCCTCAGTTGCAAGCTCTGTGCCCCTGACAAGCTAATCAACCTCTCTGAACCTCTGTTTACCCAACTCTATAATGTATGAATGATAGTATTTGTATCTTAGGTTTGTTGTGAGGAGAAAGTGAAGTAATGTCAGTGAAATAGATGACACATGGTAGATAATCAGTGGATATTTTTAAAACAACTGCATACCCTGACTTATCTATAAAATTAGAAGCTAGTTAAGATGATCTCTAAGGTACATTCCAGCTCTAATAATTTTTTTAATTGGACTATAATTGTTTTACGATGTCAGCTCTAATAATTTTCGATTCTTTGATTCTCTTTGTATGAAAATTGATAAAATGTGTATTTTAAAGATATCTGTCTAGTTATCTATATATTAATAGATAGATATATAACTGCAGAGTCCTGGATTGTCATGAATTACTGCTTGCAAAATACCCTTTGCTGGACATGGAAGTGTAGAGAACCAGTAGAGAGGGCATTGTACCAGACACTGCCGTAGTTCTCTTATCTAAGCTTGTTCCCTTATTTCAGTCATACCAGACTCTCCTGGAGCTTATGAAACTGAGTCACCATCCCCACCTCCTCCTTCTCCTTCTCCTGAACCAGTGCTGAAGACTGAGCTGGAGCCGCCTCCTGTCAAGGTAAAACTTCACTGGGATGTGTCCTTTATCGCCCAAGGATGAAGCCGCTCTGCTGTGTTAGTTCTCTGCTCTACACTTCACATGTGGCAGTAGCTGGCTCCTGTCTCATCCTGCTTTCCTGTAGGTGGTACAGAATGGGCATTCCCTCTCTTCTCACAGGAAGGGCAAGTTTAGCCATAGGGCATCATCTCAGGAATGTAGCCGATGTCAATCCTAGGGGCTCTTTAGTTTTTCATGGCTTCCAGTTTCAGAGCAGCTGTGCCATCCAACTTCTTTTGGCATTGTGCACAGTTAAGTGTAGCAGAGTTTGTGAAAGACAAACTATATTTGCAAGTAGAACAAACAACTTACATGTTTGTTGCTCTTCTAGAAAAGGGCTGCAAATGGGGAAATATAGTTTTCAGTAATCTTCAGCTGGGTCTTGTCTGCATCTTCGAGTGTAAATAATGAAGGATTGAGAAGATGGGCTTTTTTTTCCTTTATGATTATTAGTTTTCCTTAATTCATTGACTGTCACTTAAATTCTGCACTAAATTCCTCATTAGCTTAAAAGAAAATGGAGTGAAAGACCAGTGGGGAGAAAAAGAAGTTGGTATAAGTAAAACCTTTTTGATACTAAGTTAGACAGTTATAATGTTGCAGTGTTGAGGCTGAACTAGCAGGTATCCACAGCAAGGGTGGATGCCTTGGAGACCTGCAGTCTAGGGGCCTTCCCTGGGCACTTCCAGTATCTGCTGTGGCCTTCCATTAAAGCCCTTACCACAGTGGACTGCAGTGGTCTGTTTTCCTTGTCTCTCTCCTCCAACTAAGGCCATTGTCCTATTGGTATTTTTAACCATGGTGCCTGCTCTCTCCAACAAAAGTTTGTTGACTGAATGAACACAATTCTTTGCTCAACATGCTGCTTTTCGTCTCATAATGAGGTATCAATGAGCATAACTTGTCTGTGGTTGGGCTGGTCCCCTAAAGGGAAATTTGTATATACCTTGTTTAACTGTTTATGCTCATAAAATATTGGAGGGTGATTGTTAAAAGATAAAAAAATTTTTGTTATTTTCTACAGCTTGATTGGTTAGTTTAATGTTGTATCCTCTGATCTTCCTGTGACCTTTTAGGGCTCCAATGAAGAAAACAAAAGAAAACGAAAACGTGTGCTAAAATCTAAAACCTTTATGGATGAGGAGGGCTGCATGGGTAAGAAAAAATTTTGGCTGCAGGGATAGAGTAATGACCGTAGAGAGCACCTTAACCCCTCACAGAGCAGAGCGCCTCATCCCCATGTGATGCTGTGCTGCGTGGCTGTGGCCCACACTGAGTAGCTGAGTATGGGGAACACTGCAGCTACAGAGGACCTGCTTCCTCTTTGGTTCATACACTTGAGATCTCGGATAGAAATTGCAGCATCTCTGGCTGGGGAGTTTCTTCATCTGTGGCGTGGAAGGGAAAATAGCCATTTTGCCTACACGTGAGATCGTTGTGAAAATTCACGTGAAGTAATAGATTTAAAAAAACACTTTCAAGATGGAAACCACAATACCAACTTTAAGTATTATCAAAGACACTGAGAAACAAGTGGGGCTGTTTTGAATGTTTATTTTATACATTTGAACTGTGGAAAAGAGGCTCCTGCAGATGATTAGACTCTGAAGAGAGTGTCAGGCGTCTTCTTCGTATTTTGTCCAATTTGTTCTGTAGAGGGGTATGACTTCCATATCACTTCCTGTGTTTCCTGTTTTATAAATCATGTTAGATAAAAGCATGTTCCTTTTACAGAGATCCAGAGGGAAAATAGAATTCAGGCTTTGAGTCATCACTTGAGTCCTGATGAAATGTTCAAATCCTGGTACTATCTTTTGTGTTTGTGAAGAGTTGTAGGTTTAGGCTCTTCAACCTCTTGTTAGTGAGATGGCCCTAAAGTGTCATTTCTCTTTTCCTGTGACTCTTGCCACACCTCAGCTCTTGTAGAGAAGTATTTTTTCCCTTTCTTGATTTTCCTTTTCTGGTTCACATTTTTGTCTTAAAAAGGTTTAATTGACTATGAAGAACCAACGTTTCCAAACAGTGTGGTGGTTAAAACTAGTGAAGACATCTCACCGATCTTGAGCCTCCCTGGTTCCCTGCCTCACTTGTCTGAAAAGGCCTCTGCCATTTTCATTGTAGCATATGCTTGGGGAGTAAAATTCCTTACACAGGAGATTTTTGTCTTTGCAGTGCCAACTTTCTTGTGAGCCTGTGAATTCTGGACTTTGGTCTTGTTTTATTTGTTTTTGCTTTCAGTCTTCTAGTCATGAATTTCAAGTCTCTTGGTTTGACTGTTAATGGTAATTTATGTATTTACTGTTGAATTTTTTAATTCATTTTCATTTTAAATTTAAGAGGACAGAAGCATCAGTGCTAGTTTTTTCCTCCTGCTACCCCAAAAGAAAAGCATCAAAAATACCTTTAGAAGAGTTCATTGGGAATTTGTGGCTAATTACATATTGCTTTGTTCAAAACACAGTTCTCAAGTTTTGGCCAGGTATGGGATGTGAACTTTTTTGTACTCCTGTCTCCAGACAGGACTATTAAGAGCCTTGGATGCAACAATGAAAACTGTGCTCACATAGCACATTTTTTTTGAAAAGTTTTTATTCCAAGCTCAACTTAATGAATCTTGGCTCCTGTAACCAACAAAAGAGTTCTACTTTCCTCTCTGCTCAGACTGTTCCAAACGCACCAACTCAGGGGGCTTGTCCTGTCCTGTGCTGGATAGCAGTTATTCTGCGGGTTTAAAAAGCTGATCTTTCCCTTTCTGTAAGTTCACAGCAGGGACTGGGGAGTTGGGCCCCTGAGATAAGTGTGGGGTAGACTTCTGGACAGGGTAGATTTATAAGAGCAAAACAGTTGAGTGGAAAAGAATTCTGTTACCCCCACAAACTGGGCCTTTCTTTTTTTTATGGCAGCCCAGAAAAGTAGCATGTTGTTCAGCTAAAATAAAGGTCCTGTATTTTTAAGTTGAAATCTCCTTTGTTCTGTAGTTTGAAGTAGCTACCGCTTTGAATATAGAAATGCTCCTTTTAGCTCTTAAGGGCTATAACAAGTGTTCTGCTTAAGAATTTCTGTTGATGCTGCCCTGACTGATTTTAACTCCTTTAAGCAATGGATTGCACAGAATTGGCAGTGAGACAGGCAATGGTTAGTCATGAAATAATGAGCTAATTGATGCTGAAGTTTAATATTATAGACATGCCACCAGTTTAATACAGAATATAGCTTATAGAGGAGCAAGTTTTGTAGTAAGTCCTGTCTTTTCTGTATGTGTAGATGGCTCTTCAGACTTACCTGATTTGAGATATTGAGTAATTAACAGGTCATAATTTTTTTCCAAAATCCAGTTATGTAGTACTTTGGCATCAGGATGGGGATGATGTTCTGCGATCATAATTGTTGCAGTATAAGCCTACCATGGAAGTTCTCTAAATATCTGAGAACAACATTTCTTACGTTTTGCTGAGTATATACATTACTTGAAGTTCTTGCCACATTTTGAATTGTGATTCAGTAGGCCCTGGGGGTAGGACTTGAGATTCTGTGTTTCTAACAAGCTCATGGGAGATGCTAATGCCTCTGGTCTGGGAAGCCTTAAGGACTCCAAGAATGCTCAATATATATTTAAAACTTTTTAGTGTTTATTTAGCCTCCAAGTTGGCAGGAGTCAGCCAAAGTGAATTCTAGGCTCTTGAAAGTAATGATAAATCCTAGGAACTCTTGCGGGGTGGGGGTGGGAGGACGACTGTTAATTATGCAGCCTTAATAAGAATAGATGGATAAGGTGAAGGAATACTCCACTGCTAGCGCCAGTTGATCTCCAGCATGCCAATTGTGAGGGGAAAATATAGCATTAAAGAGAGCTTGCCAGAGATTACTGGATGTATTTGTACTTTCTCTGAGGTAGCAAATGACCTTTTACAGGGAAGCAACAAACAGTGATTCTCAAGGTGTGGTCCCCAGACCAGCAGCTTATCAGCATCACTTGGGAACATGTTAGAAAAGCAAATTCTCAGGTCCACCCCAGACCTACTGAATCTAAAACTCTGGAAATAAAGCCTAGCCATCCATGTTTAAACAAGGCTTCAAGTAATTCTGATACACATTAAAATCTGAGGTTAGGTAAGTGACTGACTAGGTATTAGAACATAGGTGTATTTGATTCCAAAGTCAATGCCTCTAGAACAGTTTGACATATTTTATTTGAAAGAAATGATCAATAGTTGACAGCTTAAAACTATTAAGGAACAGTTCTTTAATGGGAAAAAAATACCTTTCACTTTGCTCATTTGAATATTTATTATACATATTAGGTTACTCTGTTCTGCTATGAAAAGGTTCTCTGTTTTTCATCATTTGCTGAGAAAGGGTTTAGATGATGTTGGTTGTACAGCTGCTGCATCTCTCTAAAGTCACAGGAGGGTGGCATTGTACTGTTTCTTGTGGTTGCTGTGTACACTGCAGCAGTACTGGAGAACATTGTCGGTTCTGGAACATCATTGTTGGAAGCCATTGTCTGTGCCTGTGCCCTGTGGGGCTTTCTTATAGTGACTCCTCACTCATGTAAATTTTTTTAAAGTTTCCTGTGGGAAAAATTCAGTGAATTTTTTGGTAGGAGAAAAGGCAAAATATGCCCTTGGCTGAGAAGGAGTAAAAGCACTGGTAACTTTCTCATTTTATCATCGTCTTACCTTAAAACTATCAAGTTTGTCATCTGATTGAGTTTGCCTGAGATAGTATCTTCATGATGTAGACCACTACTAAATCTTGGGTCACTGAGAACCAAGAACTGAACAAGGGAGGAACTAACTAATCTCCAGTTCTCTGTACTTAGGACATGCAGACCCTCCGTGACATCAGGGCAGGGCTAGCCAGGAGGTACTGTGGCAGTGAGCCTAGCTAGACGGGACAGGGACTAGCAGGTCGAACCGAGATTAAGAGCAGGAAAACCAAAGATGGAAATGGCAGCACTGTGGGTCAGGGAGATGAGACTGAAGAAGTCAGTGAAAGCATGGAGGTAGAAGCAGGTGTTTGAGATCAGCAGACAGTTCTGATCCAGAGTTTAGGCAGTTAGCTAGCACAAAGGCCCAAATGCAGGATTTGGGCAATCAAATGACACAGGCCCACTTAAAGTCATGGTACACAGCAGTGACAGAATAAGGGGTAATGTTGATTATGAGCCACAGCTCAAGGCTGTGAGCTCAAGATACTGCCTACTACCTGAGTTGGGATCTGATCTCCCAGCAGTATTAAGCTGCAGTGATTGGTGAGCACACCTCCCTCGGTCAGTGGGACTGAGGGGATTGGAGTGAACCAGATAGCTTATTCTCTTGCGAGAGCAGTGTTCTAAATAACTCAACCCATTCATATCCTGTTTTTCCCCTTGTTCTACCAGTGACTGAGAAAGTCTTTGAGAGTGAATCCTGCACAGATAGTGAAGAAGAGCTTAAGATGAAGACTTCCTCTATCCATAGGCCTCCTGCCATGGCTGTGAAAAAGGAACCTAAAGAGGAACGAAAAGGCCCCAAGAAGGGAACTGCTGCTATGGGCAAAGCCAATAGACAAGTGGCCATTACTGGCTTCTTCGCGAGAAAGTGAACTGCCATCTCTGTTAGGTCAGAGATGTGGTGTGGTCAAGGGACAAGCCCAGGACGTGCAGACTCTCACTTACTGTGTAAGTTCATCCAGCGCCTCGCCTCACCTGTGTCGAAAGACTGTTCTTCCACCCTGCAAGGTTTATATGGCTTCTCGTTTTCAACAAAAAGGAAATCACCTGGACGCAAGAGGCAAAAGAATATTTGAAAAGCTGTTACCTTCTAATGACATTTTTTAAAGCACAATTTTGACCTGTCCAGGAGAAGATTTCACTCCAAAAATAAATTGGAACAGGTTTCTGAATTATCACTGAAGCCGTTAATGGCTAATCCACTGTGTCCTACGCATCCTCTGCCCTTATCCATCCATGTATGGCTCAGGAAGTGATCCTCCTTGTTCTTTTGTATTCCATGGACTTGTGCAGGTATTCTTTTATCCCTGAATTTTACTGGGTGTGTCTGTCATTCCCCCACCCTCCCTTCCCCACTGCCACCCTTCTGTGTAAAGTATTTTCTGTAAGTCTTTTAAATCTTGGACTAAGGCTGAGACAAAAATCTGCCTGTAACCCTCTTTTCTTCCATTATAAAGTACACTGACACCTGGCCCCAGACCAGCATGTTACTTGTGCTCTCGCCCTTTCTCAAAAGCTCTTCCTCTCTAGACCTTTACCTGCAATTAGTGGTTGGGGAAAGCCTGAGGCAGAACGCAAACAGAAAGCAATGCTGTATTCACCCCACCAGAAACTATAGTCAGCACTGATGATGTGAGAGGATTTGTCATGTTGCTGACATAGGGTGTGCTGTGTATTGCTCTTTGTGATTTTTGTCTCCTCTCCACTCTCCCTTTCCCACTCTCAAGACCTAGAGAGGGAAACCCACACAGTGAAATGAAGGCTAAAAAGAGAAGTCCCTTCTTACACACAGTGTACAGCAGTTAAGTAAAATTTCTCCTTTTCAAGGAACCTGAATGTTAGAAACAGCAGTTTTCCAGAAAGGTGTTGAGGAAGAGGTAAAGCACCTTGTCTGTCAGTCTCGCTCCTCTGTAATTTTAACTCCCCACGTGCTTAAAAGTAGAGGTTCCCCAAGAAGAGATGGAGAGAGCCAAGTCATTCATTGGTACATCTAAACATTTTCATTTTTTATTCGTGGAAAATCATTTATTCCAGTGAAAACGTGGAAGCAACTTCCCCTATGGCTGGACAGTGAGCTTGGGGGATGGAGGTGGTGTGGCAGTGACCTTGCACTGTGAGCTTTGAGGAAAGGAAAGGAACACAGGCTCAGCTGCTGGCCTGACTCATGACTTAACAGAGGAGGGATGTCTGACTTGCCTCTTGCTCCTTCCACCTTCGCCTGGTGTATGTCGTAAGTGATGCAGTCAGCCATCTACTGTTTAAGGTTAGGTTTGTGACTGACCTTGAATTAATAGGAGCTTCTTTAAGCAACTGTCACTCAGGCCCCTCCAGCTAGGCACCCCATGTTCTTGATTAAAACCAGAGGTTTGGGAGATGAGTCCTGGCGATATGTCTACAACTTGAGAAGACAGAGGCTTTGTGAGCAAGCTGAGTAAAGGTTGACATATTCCAAACCCCTTTCTTTTTAAAACGTAAAAGGACAGAGAGAAGGCTGGAAAGGCTGAACTTAAACCTTTACAAAAAAATTTCTGGAGAGGAATCCCTTTTAAATGGTTATTTTTGTCATTGCCTCTAGTCATTTTTCTAACTAGTAATGGAAAATTAAAAAAAGCAACAATCCAGTCGTTTTTAAAAAAATTACATTGGGATCTCAAATAAAATCACATTTCGAATTGGAAACCTCTGGTGCTGGTGGAGTTCTGTCTTTGCAAGGATAACGCAAATCCTGTGATCACTGTGCCCAGTATGCTGCCTACACTCTGAGCCATCTGTGAGGCTTGGTAAGTAGTAAGCACTGGCTGTTTTTTTTCTTTTTGTTTAAAAAAAAAAACCCTACCATGTTATTCACATGAGTTAAATAAATTTGAGAAGTTGTTTTAAAACAGTGCTTCAAACTGAATGTCTGATGAGTCTGTTATTTGACAGGACAGCAATAGTGTATGCAATTATTCAAACTCTGAACAGGAAGAAGGCTGGTTTTCAGTTTATATTGTTAAAATAGCATACCCATAGTCTGAGATGGACAAGTTATTTGCTGTCTTCATCACTTTTCAGCCCTGTGGGAAATCTTAGTTTTAGCCAACCTCATTTTTTAGTTCCTTCAGAAGAAAATCTTGTCCTGATCCTGCACATTGTATTAGTCTGGCTTCACCACTTGCTGGCTGTATGACCATGGGCAGATTTCTAAACCTCAGGTTCTTTATCAAACTAGAGCTCAGACAAGTTACCATGGATTGTCAAGGGTGAAGTAATTTATATACAGAATAAATTCAGAACACGTAGGTGCTTTGCAAATGATGCTTCCTTCTTGATGTCATAAATGATGCAATTAGCCACCAGCTTCCTGAAATGTTATCGAGGATATGACCCAGATGTTATACTCTTTCAAAATCACCATTCTGGCTATAAATGTAGTCAAAGAGGGAAGGAAGATTGTTATCCTATTTTATGCAAGGTTTTAGAGGGTATATTTTCCTAATGAGAGAAAGTAAGATTCACAAATGACTATCGACTATTCATGAAAACATTGTGCATCATGTCAGGCTTCTGTCGTGACCACTAGAATATAGAATCCTAGAAATTCTATAGAAATCCTAGTTTCTTCTACTAGTTGTCCTCAGGAACTAGTAGAAGAAACAAGGAAGTAAAATGAAATTGTAGCATCCCATTGTAAGTGCAATCGTAAATGAGCACAGAGTCTTCTGAGAGCCCATGGGAGGGTGGGTGTTGGGGAAGTCTTCCCAAAGGAGAGAAAACTAAGCAGTTTCTCTGAAGGATGAGTAGGGTTCTGCCAGGCAAAGATGAAAGGATTTTCCAGGCAGAGGAACATGACTTTTAGGGGGAAATGAACTGTTAGAATTTGGGAATAGGGAGGAAAGAATAGGGAATTTGGGAATCGAGAAGTGAAGTCGGGGTCTTGCTAAGGAATTTGGATCTTATTTGAAAACTGTGGGGGCCAACTGAAGAATTTTAAGAAGAGTAACATTAGAAGTTGATTTTTATTTAAGCATGACAGCTGGTATTTTCTTTGATTTTGTGTGCCATATAGGGAATGTTTATACCCATGCTCGCACATTGTATCTTAGTTCTAGTGGTATTTAAAGTTCTAATGGAATTAAAAATGTCCTGGTTAAAGTGAGACTGCTTAATTCTGGCAGTCAGGATAGGCAGTTGCAGTATTTTCCCTTGTCTTCCTGCATCAATACAGCTTTCTCTAGCAGAAGTGATTTCAAGTTTAAAAAGTGATTTTAAAAAACTGGTAGTTCTCCTCTGACATCTCAGTGATATGTGCCTCTGCTCATTTCCCTGAAAAAAACAGAGGACGAGTGGAACAGTTCTATTCCTTCTCTTTGTTTCTCTAAGAAGACATTAGTTATTATACAGGAGAGAGCTGAAGAGAAGGGCCATATAAGGAAACGAAATAGTTGCTCCAGGACCTGAATAGAGTGAGTGCATAATAACATATTTGCCAGAAACGTACTCTGTGTCAAGACTCGTTTTGGTAAACTTGTCTCCTTTCATTGGTTCTGGGACCTCAGTATGCTGTCATGCAGCTTTTTACCACCATGAAACATTCTGGGGCTGCCTCGTTTTGTTGGGAAAAGGCAGTATTGCTTTCTGAGTTATTACCCTGGCGGCTCTGTAAATCAGCCCATGTTGTCACCATGCCCTCTCTGAAGGGCACATTGTACCCAAATGACTGCAGTTAGGATTGACTCTTGCCACTCCCTGCTGCTTGACACTTCTCACCACTTGTGTCTGTGTCCAGTTTTTTTTTTCATGTGTTCTTAAGTGTGGGCCACCCACAGATTGCCACCCAGGCTCTTGAGCCTGAGAAACTTGGGAAGGCTTCTGATCCAAACCCACCTTAACTCTAGAATTCCCCTTCATTTCAACCCATAACTATCGTCTGGCTCCTCCACCACCTCTGCCCTTCTTTTTTCTCATTTGCTTTTTGCCAGACTTCTTATTTCTTGAGGCTTCACTTTGGCTTCTCCTACCCCCCCCCCCCCCCCTTTTTTTAACACTCAAAGTTCTTCATGGATAATCTTTTTTTTCAGTCCTTTAGGCTTGCTTTCTCAAGGTTCTTATGTCTTATACCGAACTGCTCTTGAAGAATGGGAAAAAATCACATTGTTCAGCATCTGCTTTAGGTCATTCAAATCCAAAGGGTCAAGGAGTTGTTGAATACTAGTTATATTTAGTCCTAGATAAGGTACTTGATGGATTGCAAGAGCTCAGAGGTTAGCATTTGGTGGAGCACAAGCACAATAAATAGCATTGTATAGCAGCTGAGATGGTGCTTAGGTGAGTGGTAAGAGGGACTTAATTCAGAAGAGAACCGGGATAATCACAATGGGCAAAGTTTATAGTCCCGTGTAAAGAATAACAAAGGACTTAAGACAAGAAACAGGCTGAGGGAGGTTCACCATTTTAGTGGATTTTTATCTAGCTGTTTGAACATGACTATTTACATAATCATGGTGTAAGTAAACCATGATAAAGTGAATCCTTACTGGAGTTATTTCTGCCCTACCTTAAAAATGAGAATATCGACAAGATAGCAAGCATGTACCCAGGGTTATTCCAAAAGGCAGGATCTACATATATTGGATCAGTGTAAATTCAGCTCAGTTTTGCACACACACAACAATTTTGACATACTGGGGAAGCAGGGAGCTGTGATGGAAGCAAGATGAGTTGGGAGGCAGTGGGCTCTGGATTCAAACCCCGTGCCAGGCACTGACATCGAGTGAGGTACTCATCTTCCAAGAACTTGTTTCTTCATCTTTAGAATGAGCTATACCATCTACCCTAAAGGGTTGTTTTCAGGCTCTAATAAAATGATGCATGGGCAGTTAGTCCCTAGTATTTTGACATGCATACTGTGCTAAGTCGCTTCAGTTGTGTCTTGATTCTTTCCAACGTTATGGACTGTAGCCTGCCAGGCTCCTCTGTCCATGGGATTTTCCAGGCAAGAATACTGGATTGGGTTGCCATTTCCTTCTCTAGGGGACCTTCCTGACCCAGGAATCGAATCAGCATCTCTTATGTTTCCTGCATTGGCAGACGGGTTCTTTACCACTGGCACCACCTGGGAAGACCCGTTGTGACATATATTTAGCTAACACAAGGGCTTCCCTGGTGGCTCAGCTGGTAAAGAATCTGACTGCAATGAAGACCTGGGTTTGATCCCTAGGTTGGGAAGATCCCCTGGAGAAGGGAATGGCTCCCACTCCAGTATTCTGGAGAATTCTGTGGACTGTATAATCCATGGGGTCGCAAAGAGTCAGACGCGACTGAGCAACTTTCATTACCACTTTAGATAACACAAAACAGGACACTTACTGTGTGGCAGGTACTGTTCCAAGAATGGTTGAATGTATTAGCTTTTTTTTAAATTGAGGTATAGTTGATATATAATATTCGGTGAACAATATAGTAATTCACAATTTTTAAAAGTTATAGTTTATAGTTATTATAAAATATTTGCTATATTCCCTGTGTTATAAATCCTTGTGACTTATTTATTTTATGTTAGTAGTCTGTACCTCTTAATCCCCTATTCCTATCTTGCCTCTTCCTCCCGGATATATTAATTCTTAATCCTTACAGCAACCCTAAGAGACAAGTACTTTTTTTTTTTTATTCCCATTTTACACATGAGGAAACTGAAACAGAAATAACGCAACTTGTTCAAGATCACAGAGTCAGCAAGTGACAGGCAGGCTATCAATCATGACAATTTGGCTTCAGTGCCTGCAGCCTTAACCCTATGCTATACTGCTTGTGGCTCTATATTAGCTCACACTCTCATACTGCCTGATTATGATTCATGTTCATTTTTACAAGTGAAAATACAGCTAGGTTGTTCAGATCCCAGGCTGTCAGATTTGAAGGCGATCTTACTGGTTATCCAACTCAACCACCCATCTTCTGCCTGAGTCCTCTCTACAGCATTCCTGCCAAGTGGTCTTGAATCTATAAACAAAGATTCAATTATGTCCAGTATACCATACTTACTAAATTACATAGTTAGATAAGTAAACTAATAAATGTTAGGAAGAATTTAAAGAGAGGCTAGAATAAAATTTTATGATTAATTTTTAGATCATCAGGAAATTCTTCTGAATAGAGCATAGTTTGCTAAGTAATCCATTTAGTTGCTTTTAGTCTAAATCAAGAACACTATTTTTCCTTGGAAAAGATTGTCCAATTCTTGGCCTTGCCTTTGACTTAACCTCTGTAAGAAAATCAAGAAATTTGGCATTTTTTTGCCCTATTGAAGCCATGTTGAGTTCACAGGTAGTAAAGTGGCTTCAAGCCACTTGTTAGCCTCTGATGGCTCTGGATTAGACCAAAGGAGTCTTCCCCAAACCAGGTTTTCCTAAAAGATGTGTGATGATTACATAAACAGCATAATCTGGTATTGGGGCGGGGCGGGGGTTTAGCCTCTCCTGGTATGGGAGGTACAGGAAGCAGAACTGTTTTCCTGAAACCATGAAGCCTGATAGTTTCTCTTGTCCCTGTTAGTTATATTCCACCTTTTCGTGTTGCTTCACTTAATCTTATTTGTGATAAACCTCAAGGTTTTTCTCTACCCTGTTTTGCAGAAAACAAGCCCAGGTCATTTATCAAGTATGCTTAATCCCCCTCCCAGTAAGGGGGTGGACTAGGGCTAGAACCAAGGTCTTCAGACTTCACATCATGTAACTTTTCCACTGCTAAGAAGAATGTGTTGGTCTTCTCCTGAACGTGCCTTGAATGAATGCTTACTGATTTGCCCAACAGTCATGGTGGCTGCTATGAAAGATTAAAGAAAAGCACATGACAAGTTCTCTGCTTCCTGGAACTGAAAGTCATTGTAAAGGTCAAACATGTATGTCTTGTGCGT